TATATGGGTAAGGCTTCCTCAAGTGGGCACCGAATTTACCAAAATTAATATTTTTCAATGATATTCAGGCAGCGCCGACTTTTGTAGTCGAACAGAACACTGTGTAATTTTTGTTGCAAAATTCCAAATAGTGTTTTTTTAATCATTAATTGAAAATTTTTGCAGTGTTTTGGAAATTCTCATTTTTCTTTGAAAGTAAGTGTCCGACTGAAAAAATTTTTTGGGTGCAGATTTAAGAAACATTAAACCATACAATGAAATTATTTGCGTTACAAAAATAGTTTTTTTTTGTGCTTTTCAATCAATTTTTTATGAAAAATTGAATTTTTAAGCAATTTCTGCGCCTCGAGGACGCAAATTTTTAACAACTACTTATGTAATAAATATTTCTGCATTTATCTATAAAAAAATGCGTGCATTTCTATATAGTTTGGTCGCAATGAGTTTTTATTTGCCAGCGTGCGCGGCCGACTACCGCGAGCATGCGAAATTCGAGCATGAGAAATAAAAGTGGAACGATTAAAACGTGCATTTCTTTCTTGCGCGAGAAGTCAACACGGATTGTGCGCGATCCAGCCACGCGAGCCATGAGAGCTTCCATTGTAGAAGGTTTCGATAGAATTTTAAAGAAATGATGTGGAAAAGATTTAGTTTAAATGGAAATTATCAATGGATTAATATATATAAAGAGTTAATAGAATAAAATAATCTTAAAAGACACCACAGTTGGACAATCCCCTATTTCTATTGCTAAAAATAATGAAAGTGTTATACTTAAATAAGCATTTAATCATATCAAAGTTTTCAAACCTGGTAAACTGAAAGTCGGAGATCATGTACGTATTAGTAAATATAAGCATGTGTTTGATAAAAGATATACATCAAACAGAACCACTGAAATTTTTAATACACAAAATACTAATCCTGTAACCTATTTATTAGAAGATTATCAAACCAATAATTGGAGGATCTTATGAAAATTAATTATTAAAAACACATTATCCAAACATATATTTAATTGAAAAGATTATAAAAACAAAAGGAAATAGCATTGTTGTTAGATGGTTAGGGGTTTCTAATGACCATAATTCTTGGATTAATAAAAAATTAAATAAAATAAATAATAGAAAAATCATAAACTTAACTTTATTTATAATTTGATGTTCATGATGTCAATATCAATTAATTTAACTGGGAATAGTGCAACTTTAGTGGGAGAATATTTTCCGTCAATTGAACTATCTTCACGCTATGTTTGTGGGCTTATAAATTTTACAACATATAATTCTATACCTAATGTAGATGTCTATAACAACTTATTTCATTTTGGTTTGCACACTATTGAAATACCTATTGGTTGCTATGAACTTAAAGATATCGCCTTTTTCTTAACTTAATTTCTAAAAGATATTGATGAAACAGCTATACTTTTAATTGAAGCTAACAACAATAATCTTACGACTAAAATAATGACGTATATGGATATTGATTTTTCTCATCCAAGATGTATAGGATACTTATTTGGGGTTAATAGAAGAAAGCTAGAAGTTAATTCTAAATATGAGGTAGAGAACGGTCATAGGAATGGAGTGTTACAGACCGTTCAAATAAAATCAGTTTTTCAAGAACAGAATTATAGTAATATAAAAGGTGACAAAATTTGAGTCCGATATACCTATAAATATTATGAATATAAACACAGTGCCTATTGAATGATATATATAGGGCGTGTTTTTTTTTACATGCATACGTATTTATTTTATTTTTTATTTATTATAATCAAACACACATTCATAATTTATTTTACAGTGTTTGAACTTAATTATAAAAGCTTTAAAATAACATTAAAAATAGTGGTGGTTTAAAGGCAAAATATTTGACAAAGGGAAGCCGTAGGTTGTTAAAATGTGGAAGGAGGAGAAGAAGAACAAAGAAGTATTAGAAAAAACATATATGTGTACGTGAATGTTAGCAATTTAGAGGGCAAAATAATGTAAGAGCTCATTTTTGAAGTGCGATGTACTTCGGATAGTTTTCATCTTATATGGCAGAGCGTTCCAAAGACGAACAGCAAAAACAAAGAACTGACGTTCAGATACAAGGCAGGTTAGGTGATCGGGCCGATCTAGTGAATTGAATTCGTTCAACAATGTATTTGGGCTCATGAGAGTTAATGACCTTGTGAAGCAGCATTAGGCATTGTACTTTTAATAAACCATCGAGCTTTAAAGAAAATATTTTTAAGGCAAAAAACAGATTTGTGATCACGACGTTTTACATAATACACGTATCTGACGATGTTGTTGTAGAGGACATTAAGTTTACCACGACACAGACTACCACAATTGGCACACAGTTCACATCCATACAATATGGTTGGTAACAGAAATGTTTCAGCTAAAAGTAGTCGAATTTTCACTGGGGTAAAGTGCTGAGTAGCCCATAATGAACGGAGCACGCCATAGACCTTGCCTATTGCACTATAAATGTGGATATTCCACGATAGGGTTCTATTGAAAATTATCTCTGGGTTTCTTGCAGTGTCAACAAATTTTATAACAGAGTTGTTCAATTTCACTTCACTGTGGCCCTCAAGTTTGAAAGTCTTCTTCTAAATAACGATGCACTGTGATTTACTTGGATTTAAAAGCAACCCATTGTCACAGGCCCACTTGATAACGTGATCTAAGTCAGTGTAGAGGTTACTAATTCAATTATTGACGGATACAAAAGGGCAACTGACATATAGTTGAACATCATCTGCATACACATGAATATCACAATATCTTAACACACTTTGAAGATCATTTAGATTTAACACAAACAATAGACGACCGAGAATCGAGCCATGGGGAATGCCTTTAGTTACGGGTAAGTAGTTAGATATAATGTCACCGGCACAAACAGCTTGTGAGCGATCATTGGGGCATGATTTTATTAAATTTAATGCTGTCGATGAGAAGTTAAACAAGTTGCTAAGTTTCAAGGCTAGAGGTTCGTGATTAAGAGTGTCGAAAGCTTTGGAATGATCCAGAAGTGTTAATAAAGTTACGCGATCGTTGACAATGTTTAGTCGGATGTCGTCTGATACCCTAATTAGCGCCGTTATACAGCTTCTGTTGGATCTAAAACCAGATTGGTTCCTATTTACCAGCAGGTCTCGACTCAGAAAAGAATTTATCTGAGTATGAATAATGCGCTCAAGTACCTTGGATAAAAAAAGGTAGTATTGCGATGGGTCTAAAGTCCCCATAAGATTTCTTAATGATTTTTGCCGACTTCCAACAGTGAGGAAAAAGAGACGTGGTCAAAACGCTGTTTAAGACATAAGTTACCTACGGTAAAATTTTAGGTAATAAGCATTTGAAAAATTTCGGATGATTCCGTCTATACCAATCGCATTAGATTTCACACTGGGGACGCACAATCATCAATATTGGAGAAGGTAAAACCAGATATTGTTCTATTCATACAAACACTGTACTTTTCACGACCTATACTACTGCTACAGGCGGAAAATTGAACAAATTTCTCATTCAGCTCATTTACATTTAGATTCTCGGAAACATGGTTACTTTTGTTGCCAATCCCTATTTCACGAATATATTTCCTTTTTTTTTAACCTATTGCTGTGCTAAACTAATGCTCATAGTATTTCAGTTTTTGCAATTTAATGGCTCTGGTGGCTTCTCTTCTATGACCCTTGAAGACATTATATGTTGCTGCACATTTCAAGTGTTTCCAATTTCTATACGCCTTGTTGCGCTTCTGAATAAGACCCTTTATATAGTTGTTGAACCAAGGCCAAGTGTAAACATACTCCCAGGGTATGTCATCAACAGCTTCTTCAAGTTGCTCATAATTAATATGCATAAAATCTGGATATGAATAAGAAACCGTATTACAAGCTAACTTAAAATCCAGTGTTAGAAAAATGAGGTCATGCTTAGAGAAATTTGGGACGGAGATCTGGTCATAGATTAGAATTTTCGACGTATCACTTACAAAAAATATGTGCAAGAGCGTGCT